ATATATATATATATTTATTAAGTGTGTGTGTGTGTGTGTGTGTGTGTGTGTGTGTGTGTGTACACTTAGCATGTAATACTAAGCACATATGCTTAGATAGACATCTAAAATATATACTCAGATTGAACTTGATGAAATAATGTTTACAGATTTTAAAAATTTATATATTGCAATCCGACACTGAGCAATGGGCCATAAATCTAATACGTGCCTTAGAAAAGGGAAGACGGAGAGATATTAAAGAACTTGTGGAGGAATTGATATTAAAAAATAAGAGTATATGATATCAATACAAGATTTTTCTGTGTTATATTAGAGCTAATATATATATTTCCTTTTCTGAATTGATGCTTTAATTTATCCTGTTTTCCAATCAAATATGACATAATTTAACAATGAACAAATTTGATAGTATATAATAGATAATTTAATGTACAAAGACATTATATAACTAATATAAATAAAAGTACGAAAGCATGTCACTACTTTTTTATATTTATAAAAAATTCTTGAATATAATTGTAACTACTATACATAAATATTAAATGAGATTACAAGGATTTATTTATCGAAAAATGAGGTTGCACAATTACATTTAAGAATATAAATTTATTCAAATCATATAGTCAATTAGTCACAAAAATAAGCAGCCCACGTGCGTATCTCATCAATCGTAGGTGAGCTATGTGTATTCTATATTTCTTAATCTGAATCTTTATATTAATAATATATTCATCTATTTCATATTTTAATGTGATTTATTAATTTTAATTTAATTTATTATTATAGAAACGTAACTACAACAATATAACATGCTTTTGAAAACAAAATTTTTATTTTTTTTTTAACATAATGCAAAGATATATTTTCACACAATTTTATTATCTGATTTTTTTCATATTATCATATTTGAATGAACAACTTAAGGGTGATATCATGAATTTTTAGTGAAATTTAAAGTGTATAAGTATTTTTCGTTTGACTCCCAGCTTTCACCATAGTATCTTTATGTACTTGATATCCCATAGTTGTTTTAGATGTAATCCTTAATCTTTCCTTGAGTTTCCGGCTAAAATCATAAATTATTATAATAGTAAGCTTGAAAAGTCAGAGATAAGAAATCAAAGTAGTTTGACATCTTACCCAATTTCCATAACACTATCTGCACAATCTGCATTCGATGTCCAGACACCAAGTTTGTCTCCTTTTGGCCTGACATTTACTACAGCTCCACAAACGTCATCAGAATATTCATTGAAGGCTTCCCCAATCATACACAATAGAATTTCTAACCAAAAATTATCTAGATCCGTAGTTCTTTGCTTTTTATCTAGATTTATTAGCCATCGTCCACCACATTTGTTCTGATCATCCTCCCACATAGGCCGAATTCCTTGCTTAAACATGCTATAATCACAACCTTGTCTTAACTCAGAGGCTGTCTTTATATGGTTGTACAAGCTGCACATAAAAAAAAGATTTTCCTTTGCTATAATTCATATTTACAATTTGCAAATCTTTGGAATTTTTTACATTTATGGAGAAAAAATCCAGTTACCTCCAGAAATCTTCAGCTGTATCAAAGCTCGTTATTTCCCGCTGGCTTTCTTCCCATGTTTTGGTCCTATCAGGCTCGTAATACCATAGAGTCCAGGTGTTTTGCAATGGATGTTTGATTAAGTATTCAGGTGGAAACTCGCCAGGACTCGCTACTTCCGTATTCTGCTTTCGATCGATTTCCTAGAAAGAGTTATGTCACTGTTTACCCGATTTCAAAAGGAATCACCTTAGAATCGCATTCAGACGCATCGATTCGGAAATTATGAGCAACCTTATGCATGGTCGCGCTAACCTGTACGATGGTCACAACGGATTGCGTGCGCATCGTTTTGCCGGTTCCACGCTACCCCTCGCAGTCGCCCGCGATATTTCCGGCGATTATTTATAAATGATCGATAGGACTGACGCGGCGAGGCACCTTTACCGAACGAAAAAACGCTGCAAACCTCGCGGAACACTTTCTACGAGCAAGAGGGTGAGGGACGCAGAGGGAGAAAGATAATGAAAGAAATGTGAAAGACCGGCAGAAAATTATCGCACGATATTACGCTTTGTTTTCGTCGCGATCTGCGTCATGTGGACGAAATTGGCGTTCCTGTATGATTCGATCCATCATCAACATACCTCGATTTCTTCTGAAATACTCGTAGCCATGTTACTTGATGTTACTTGCTATACACGACGCTTGCTAACTCGCTCCGTTGAAGCCGCGCGAATAGCAGCGAGACATCTGACAGTATTGTTGCAACTTTAAAAATTTAATCACCAGATTTCTAGTTCCAAATCAACTTCTATAGAGAAAGAATTAAATAGCGTTTTCGAGCAGATTTGCTCTCATTTGGGTTGGATAATAAGTCTGTTTGCGTTGCATGAAATCCCCAAATATTTTTGCACTTAAAATGAGATAGATATATATTTATCTTTGAAAAAAGAGAAAGCGAAGATGCTGAGTGCAAAAAGTGCAAACAACGCGAACAGACCTAATGTTTCTACTATTGGTTGACGTTATTCCATCAATAGAAGAGCATACAACGTTATTAATCCAACCTAAGTTGGCACAAATTCGTTCGGCTTGAATACGCTAAAAGGAATGAGAAAATCATTTTCATGTTAAGAAGAAAACGGGCTTATATGACGATTTCGAGGATCAAAATAAGCCCATCTTCTTCTTCAAGCATTTATATTAGTCGTAACTGTATGTACTTCAAGCATTTTATATTAATCGTAACTGTATGCCGTAATCTGATCTACAATAAAGTTTTAAGTCTTAAGCCGTAAGAAATGGAACAAATTATAGTCGATTATTCTTCTCGATTCGACTATAATTATTAATTTCTTACAACTTAAAGCTTAAAACACCTATTATAGATCCGGGGTAAAAATTTATCTTCGAGTATTCCCTTCTTATTGTACAATGTAACAAGAGAGGAATACTCGACTAGATTAGTCTTCTTACATTATCTTACATTATATTGTATGCATACAGCATATAATTACGGCCAATATAAACGTTCCCTTAGAAAGAGACACTGTTCAACTACACACTCATCGACATATTGGACGCAGCACAGACTCTTGCATAACGCATAATGCATAATGCATAAAGGAATCAACCAATCGAAATTCTTCTTTTCCATGGAAAAGAAAGATTCTGATTAGTTGATTTGCTTATGCACTATGCGTTATACGTTATGCAAAAGTCTATACTGCGATCAATAGAATGGACTATGACGATGATGAGGGTAGAACTAGTAGAGTGAGAGGCCCATTTTGAAATTTGGGAAAAATATTTAAACATTTGGAAAATAGTATTTTTCTTGTAATAAACAAATTTTATCATGCGTCAAGTTAGCAAATAGCAATTTTATTTAATGTGTTTTATGTTTTATGGAGAAACATATATGTAGATGCATATGTATATAATAATCTTTAAATGAATAAACGTACATATTATAAATTAACGCAAATTGCTTTCATGTCTAGAAAAAATACTTAAATATTTGTTAAATATATGTATATAATACCTCTTGACATATATGTATGTATAAAACTTATCCATCTTTACTGAAAAATAAAAATAAAGAATAAATATTAATATTTTTCTTCTTGAAGTGTATTTAAATGATAATAATATTTACAAATTAAAAAAATAACACATGCTGATAATTTTTTTCTTCATTGTATATTTTTATATTAAAAGTTTATTATTCCGAATACTCCAATGTTAGACTACGTTTTCAAATTTCATTCAGTACAATAAATATAGAAAGCCATAAGCCATAAGAAATTGACCAATCACAGTTGAAAATGAAGAAAATTAGTCGAATATAATTAAGTTTATGATTAGTTGATTTCATACTACACATAATTTCTTATTATGCATACTTAGATCCGGGCTTAATTGGTTAATTTTTGACGATTTTAGGTTTACTATATTCATTGTACTACACCTACTACACCCGGGTTTTGTTTGTTTCGTAATATGTAAATCTATTGAATTATCAAATAGTGACTTTTCCTAAATGAAAATAATAATGAAGATGTCTTTCCCAAATGATTTCTATTGATTCATTCATAAAACACATTAAATAAAATCTGTCTGCTAACTTAACGCATAAAATTTGTTAATTAGAAGAAAAATATATTTCTTAAATTTTTAAATGCTTTTCTCGAATTTTCCCAAACGATTCCCAAATTAAATAGACATAAATAAATTAAAAATATTCAATTTGTCTGTTATCTTGTCAGTGATGTTGTGTTTCGACAGCTGTGTCGAAAATATTTTTTTTAATTACAAGGTTGATAGCACTGTAATTAACATAGCTACTCCTTAAGAGATCAGCTAATATTGTAGTTTTCATTTACTAACAAATTATCCTACATTAGTTGCAAGCAGATCGCAAGTTTGTTGTGACAAGCAATATGAAGTGTTAATTTCAAAATGCAAGCTTCAGATTGGCTGTTGCAATAAATTTGCGACCGGCTTGCAACTAATGTAGAACCAGCTTTATGCATTTTATGTGCGAAGTTCTTTATGCCTTATGCATTTCATGTGGGAAGCTTTTTAATTACAGCGCTACCAACCTTGTAACTGAAAAGAATATTTTTGACACAGTTATCGGAACACAGCCATAGTTTTATGTGACTCCCTTAGGATGCCGTCCCATGTATATGGAACGATGGAATGGATTTCTTATTAGAAATGAATTCATTAGCATTCTATTCCGTAAAGTCGTAATCACACTACAGGCTTTCGATTCTGAGGATTCGAACTCATGCAACGGAATAGCGAAATGCGAAACGAGAACAAAATCAATCACGAGTATTTCGCAATTTTCGTTACACGGTTTCAAATCACTTCATCTTCATGGAGCGCAATGAGCGTAAGCGGAATCAACAGTATGATGTTTAAATATTGTATTTGTCATTCATTTTTTATTATCATGTATTTAAGTACAGAATTAAATGCATTGAAAATAATGATTAAAGATGTTAAAATTTATGAAATTAATCTTAATGTGATTGTAACCTTTATGAAATAACGATTTATGATTGGTTGCGCAAAGTCTGCGATGCGCTCATTACATATATGCTACATGGGTATCGGGAATTCACATTTCAACGTAACAAAACTGGCAGAATAACAATGTGAGTACAGAGATAAATTATTAAGTAATTATAATAGAAGGCGCTTCTCACCTTCAATTTCAATGAAATTATGTTCATTCGACGCGTTTTTGCATAAAATGAAAGAATCTTGCAATTAAATGTTGTGTCTAGTCCCGCGAAGTGAGATTTAATCATTAAAGTTGACGACTATTTAGGTTAGAAAATCTGTCATAATCACGAAACACTGCGATGCGAGCATGCGCTGCAGTCACCGCGTCACATAATACGGCCATTTTGAGAATGACTG